CCAACGAGATGGATTGGCCAAGTGGCAGCATCCATGGGCTCAAGCATGGCGACAGTAGTGAGGTTGGCCCAGAACCAGGCAGTGTTTTCTTTCTGTTGTGCATAGGGTCGCTGTGAGTTGGTACCGACTCGATGGCACCTAACAACAACCCCTGTTTTGCAGTTGTTGTGTGGCACCTTAAGATAAGCACTTAACATCAAGGTCAGTTTGAACCACAAGGTCGGTAGTTCAAACTCACTAGCTGCTCCTTGGAAATCCTATACAGGGTCACTATGAGTTGTAACTGACTGGACGGCACTCAACAAAAACAGTAACAACCTCTGTTGTAGAAGATCACAAAGACACATCAGGGTTGACTTGAACCTCTACTCTTTAGTTTAGCAGCTGAGTGTCCTCCCAGGAACTCCACTGTGATCGTGTTGTTGTTAGGTCCACTGAGACAGTTCCAATTCTTAGCCACCCCCATGTACAGCAGAACAAAACGCTGCCCAGCCCCAGCCATCCTCACAGCTCTTACTGTGTTTGAGTCCATTGCTGCTGCCCCTTGGCCAATCCATCTCATTGGGCATCTTCCTCTTTTTCTCCAACCCTCCACTTTACCAAACATGATAATTCTTCTCCAGGAGCTGGACTCGCCTGATAACATGTCCTAAGTACATGAGACAAAGTCTCACCATCTTGGATTCTAAGGATTTTTAAGGATAATTCCAGTGGGATTCCATCAGGAATCATGGACTGAGAGCCACGCGCCCTACCTAACTAACGTCATCCGTGACAACCAAGGCAGAGGGTACTGTTGTCATCCGGACTACAAAGGAGAAGTCGCGGGTTAGAGACAGTGTCACAGGCCTGTGGGTGACACCTGAGGTGGCAGTTACCAGATCCAGCCCTGCTGCCTCTACCTGTGTGGTGCCAGCAGGTCTCAACTCTAATGTTCTCACCTGTAAAAGGGGCTCCATGGCAGTGTGAATGGGAAGCCCATACTTGTCCATCCTTGTAGGTGGACTGAGGTGGGGACAGGCGGGCGGGCACCAGCTCACCTCTCTTCTTTGTTTCCAGGAAACAGAGCAGAGCTTCATCTCTGAGTTGGCTGCGCTGGCCCGGGTGCCCCTTGCAGAAAACAGAGCGTCCACGACAAAGCGAGGGCCGGCAGGTAAGTTCTGAGGGCAGCGGCTGCAGAGAGCTCAGGGTCAGAGGAAGATGGTCCTAATCTCTGGGCCCCATGTCTGGGTCTGTGGTGGGCAGGGGAGGGAGGCCCCTCACTCTCTAGCTTCATCTAACACCTGGTCTCTTGGCCCTTGGCGATGTCTCCTCTCTGACTCTGTCTTCTCATCTGTAAAATGGGAACAGTAAGTCCTCCATCTTGCTCATCACAACAGTGACAACCTCAGTGACATCACACCATCCCTGTTCCTGACCCTCCTCGGACGTGAAACCTCAGAGACATCACACCGTCCCCATTCCTGACCCCTCCCCCGAGAGTGACATCACAGTGTTCTTTTCCCTGCCTGGTCCTCCAATATCACTTTGGATAATCCCGCACCGCCCACTGGGGACCAAAGCTTTAACTCCGTGTGCCTTGTCCCAGTTGTGCCTCCAGCATGAGTCTGTGCCCCAAATGTAGCCCTGGGCTGTCCAGTACGGGGACAGACAGTCTCAGGGATGACGAAGGGTCTGTGGAGGGAGCGCCGGACCTTTATAGACACCGCAGCGCACACAGTGTTCTGTCTTCTCTTGCTTTGTGGGACTTACCAGGTTCTAGTAGTAAGAATACAGGATCGGGGTCTGACAGGCCAGAGTTTGAATCCCAGCTGTAGGGCCTCAGTTTCCTATAAGTTAAGTGGGCATCGTGGCATCAGGGCCCACAAAATGCCAGGCATATCGTGCCTCGTCCAAAGCCAGAGCTGGAGTCTGGGTTCCTCTGTCCTCTGCAGAGAAGCCCCTACGGACCAAAAGAAAGAAGCCCGCTCCCCGAGAGAGAGGGGAGCCAGCGGGGCCCAACGATGAAGACCCTGCCCCCGAGGGCCACACTACAGGACCACTCAGGTACAACAGGTCCCTGGCTTCCTACTTGCCTACCATGCCCTTACACCTGGGCGGAAAAGCTAGCGTTCATCCGAGGGTCCACGGGATGGTGGATGTAGCGGGCGGTGACAACTCTAACCCTTGACAATACTGGGGAATATTGATATTCGCATTGCTGTTTAGTTGTTGTTGTGAGGTGCCATTGAGTTGGCCCCCTACTCAAGGCGACCCCAGGCGTAATGGGATGAACCCTACCTGGCCCTGTTCCATCCTTACGATCCATTTCAGGTTGACCCATTGAGACCCAGAGGGTCTTGATTTTCAAAAGCAAATCATCAGGTCTTTCTTCCTGCCAACATGAGCTCCAGGCCACGTGTTTGACCTTTGGGCAAACAAACACTTCTCCCACCAGGGTGGCCACTGGCTCAAGACACGGGGAGGTCAGTCCCGGATGCCCTGGTCACGTGGGCACACAGATCATCTTCCCCCTAACGCAGGGAAACTGGAAGTTTTACTTATTTTGTTTTAGCAGCCCACATGAAGATGAAAGCCGTTAGAATCTCTTTCAGGCACAGTAGATGAAGTCTTGATCCATGCTGCTACATGGATGATCCTTGAAAACATCGTGCTGAAGGACATAAACCAGACTCAAAAGGACTGATATTGTATGACCTCACTTACATGAAATGTCCGTTGTTGCTGTTCAGTGCCATCAGCTCAGTCCCAACCCCATGTACAACAGAACCAAACAGTGTCTGGCCCTATGCCAGCCTCACAGTTATTCCTATGGTTTCCCACTTGGTTGCTGCCACTGTGCCAATCCATCTTATTAAAGGTCTTCCTCATTGTCACTGACCCTCCACTTTACCAAGCATGATGTCCTTCTCCAGGGACTGGTCCCTCCTGATCTCACGTCCAAAGTACGAGAGATGAAGTCAATGTTTTGCTTCTAAGAAGTGGTCTGACATCCTTCTTCCAAAATGGATTTATCTAGACTGGATAATGAAATTGTCTAGAATATGCAAATTCTCTCATACTTCAGACATATTATCAGGAGGGGACCAGTCCCTGGAGAAGGATATCATGCTAGGTAAAGTGAAGGGTCGGCGAAAAAGAGGAAGCCCCCAATGAGATGGATTGGCATAGTGGCAGCTACAATGGGCTCAAGTGTGACAATGATTGTGAGGTTGGCACAGGACCGGGCAGTGTTTCATTTTGTTGTGTATAGGGTCACTAAGAGTCAGAACTAACTCAATGGCGCTAGACAACAACTAACATAGTAGGCAAATGCCTAGAGACCAAAAGCTCATTTGTGATCCATTACTAGGGGTGGGTGGGAAGGGATAGGGGGGCACTAAGTGTCTGTCTTTGGCAGTGCTTTAAAAATCATGATTTTATAGTGTTTAGATGGATATTTTATAATAATGATATTCTAAGCTATTAATATTGTAGAGGTAACTATTCCATAAACTAATTTTGTCTGTAGTTATTGTTGTGAAATGCTGTCGACCCTGTACGGGGTTTCCAGCAGGTGGGTTTGAGCTGCCTACCTTTCTGTTGGTTGGCAATCCAATGCTTATCCTACAGCGCCAACCAGGATTCCAATTTGAACACAGATAACGTTGAGGGTTGTGCAAGCAATACCAGAGTTACACATGCAAAAAATGGTTGAAACAGCAAATGTCATGTTGGATATATTCCACGACAATAAAAACAGTTACTTTTTTTTTTTTAATTAAAAAGGTAAAGGAAGAAAGAAAACAGTTTTGGTGACCTGTTGCTGCCTCCCATGGGACCAATGTGGATCGGTTTGACACGTGTCTGGGTTGGGCATGCGTGGGTCCAGATTGATACTGCAAGTTCCCACTTACGGCTTTTCCTCCCTCCGTGTTTGCAGCCCCAAGAGCCTGAATCAGCAAGAGTGTGCCACTGGTGATGCCGAGAATGCCACGAACATGCTGAAGAAAAGAAACAACTTGTCGTGACATGAGACAGAGTCTAGAATCCTGAGGGGGGCTCTGCAGACCCCACCCCACACCTGCTCCCTAGCTGTGCGGAAGACTCGGTGGCAGAGATACCACAGAAGCCTTGACCTCCTGTGAAGAGTCAGATCTCCCCCTCGGGCCTCACAGGGTGTGCTGAGGGGGACAGGGTGGGGGGTGGTCTCTGACATCCCCCCCCAAAAGCATAGGTACGTTGGCCCTGTGCCTGGGAAAACTAGGGAGCCCTGCACCTGGCGTCTGTCTTTGTGAGAATCTGACCTCACTGAACTTCCCCATGCCCGTGTTTCTGCCCCAGTACTGTCGTACCCTGGTGGCTCAGTGGGTAAGCTCCCCACTGCTAACCAGACCTGGTCATCAGCTCCTGACAGGACAGTTTGGAGAACCCTCCAGGGCAGATCTCTCTCACGCAGGGTCCCTATGATTCCGAGTTGACTCCTCAGCTCCCAGCCACGACACTGGCTTCTGGTGCTGCCCTGCCGTGCCTCCCTGGAGCGTTGCTGGCCTCAGTGCCTTGGGTGTGGCCTGGTTAAGGCCTCCTCTTTGAGGTCCCCACCAGGGGGCAGCAGATGGTCTCCAGCCTTTTGCCTTTCCCACTTGGGACTCTCTCATATACCACAGCCGTTGGCCATGAACACCTTCTATAGTGTCCTGACCACACAAGTTCCCAATGTTGGGGCACAGACCAGTAACTGGAATTTGCTCTCAGGTGCTAAGGGTCTGAAGGAGGAGGCCGACAACTCCATGGTTGTGATATAGGAGCTTACAGAGGGCTTACTAACTGAGACACAGACTCACATCTCTGCAGACCCGGGAGGAAGACAGGGACTTGTATAGCTCTGGCAAACAGAGGTAGGTCAGTGTCAGGAACCTGGACATCCAAGGCCACTTCAGCAAGTGCTCAGACTGACTGATCACGTGGAAGGAAGCTTGCAGAGGGCCAGAGTGTAGCCATATCCCGCTTCACAAAAACCCGTTCCCCTCTACCCACCCATCTTCAGTATTAGCTGCTCTGGTTTAACCAGCAGCCTGACCAATCCGGAGTCTCAGTCTTAGGACCAATAACCCTGCCAGAGACCAGGGACCCCTGACCCAAGGGCCTGTGAGACCACACCCTAGGGTCTGAGGGTCCACAGAGCTATCATGACTTGAGCTGTACCCATTCCTGTTGGGGGCACATATGTTCTTAGGAAGAGGCCTTGCCCAGCTGTTGGACTTCACCCAGGAGGGCAGTAAGCCCCTCCACCATATAACTTTTGTTGTTGTTAGGTGTCATTAAGTTAATACCAATTCATAGCAACCCTATGCACAACAGAACGAAACACTACCCAGTCCTGGGCCAACCTCACAATTGTTGCCACGCTTGAGCCCATTGATGCTGCCACTTTGCAGATCCATCTCGCTGGAGGTCTTCCTCTTTTTCTCTGACCCTCCACCTTACCAAACATGATATCCTTCTCCAGCGACTGGTCCCTCCTGACAATATGTCTGAAGTATGAGAGACGAAGTTTGGCCATCTTGGCCTCCAAGGAGCACTCTGGCTGCACTTCTTCCAACACAGATCTGTTGGTTCTTTTGGCAGCCCATGGCACTTTCAGTGTTCTCTCCCAACACCATAACTCAAAGGCATCAATTCTTCTAAAGTTCTTCCTTACTCCTTAACATATTCTGAGTTAAAGGTCTCCGGTGGAAGGGTAAAAACATCTGGAAGCTTCCAGCCCAACTGTACATGCTACACCACTGCTGGGGTGGCGTTTCCTCCCTGCAGAGAAAACTGCTTGTAGCCCCTAAGTCCGGGCCTCACATCCTCAGCACGGTGGGTGTTTGTTACATGCTGTCCAATTGGTTCCAACTCATCGCAACCCTATATAGGGTCTTCAAGGAATGGCTGGTGGGTTTGAACTGCCACTTTATGGTTCAAATCAACCTTGAGGTCTAGTGATTCTCCTACAGCATCACACCAAGCCTCCATGGTGGGCATTTGGGGCCCAATAATTCTTTGCAGCTGAGATGATGACCGGTGCATTGTATTGTGTTTACTTGCATCCCTGGTTCCACCAGGAACACACACACACAAATGTCTCCAGACCTTGAGGCACATCCCCTGGAGTCATCCTTTGAGAAGTCAGATCTAAATCAGATTGGGCAGGTCTAGCACCGGACAGCTGAATGCACATTTCCACAAATTTCCAGGACCAGGTTGCTTATCTGGCTCTGGGGGTGTCTGGCTGGGGGATTTTCTGGACCATTTGTGACCTGAATTTTTATATTTGAAACCTCTTATTCAGAGATGGAGAGACTCCTTAGCAGAAAAATGTAATCCACAATATTCATGCCGTTGGTTAACAATGCTTATTCTTTATTCAGCTCTGGTCCATGGGAGATGTCCCCCAGATAAACCGACAGTGCCCTCTTGTGGCTAAATAAAAGCATCCCAATTTTCTGTGGAGCCGTCTTTTTAATTTATTTTTACTTAGTTTGAACTTTTGAATGTGATTTGCGTGAGAGTTTGCAGAACAAGTTAGCTTTCCGTTCAGATAATTCATGTGCATTTTGTTTTATGACATTGATTGTAATCCCCACAATGTAACATCAATTATCCTAGTTTCTCTCTGGGTTGGAATCTTCTTTTTTTTTAAAAAAAAAAAGATGGCTCCTTTGAGCACTGTTTCCAGAATCTGGTTTGCACAGAAATCACTTGTATTTGGTCGCGTGTCCACAGCCCAGAGGCACTCTGGGTGGAGCGGAGTCCTACTTTGGGAATGCCATTCCTCCCCTCGATCCAACTAAACTGGCCACTTACCCTGAGGTTAGCCAGCAGGTGTAACGCTGGGTAGTGTGGATGGTTAGTTAGCACGCTCGGCTACTGAGCAAAAAGTTGGAGGTTCCAGGCCATCCAGCAGCATTTCAAGAAAGGCCTGGGGAATCTAGTTCTGAAGACAGAGCCATTGAAAACTCCATGGAGCCCAGTTCCACTTGGAAGCATGTGGGGTCCTGGTTAAATTGTGTCCCCCAGAGAGAAATGTCAGTGTGGCTGGGTCGTGGTTCTCAGTGGTTTGACATCAGCCTTTGGTGTGATCAGGGGAAAGGGATCAGGGTAGGGTTCAACCCCCTTTCTCAAGTCACAGTCCTGATCCAGTGATGACGAGAGTTCCCCTGGGGCGTGGCCTGCAACACCTTTCATGTTGAAAGAGAGAAAGGAGACAGAAGAGCAGAGAACCCTACAACCACCAAGAAGGCAACGACCAGAGCAGAGCGTCCCTTGTACCTGGGGTCCCTGTGCTGAGAATCTCCTAGACCCAGGGGGAAGACTGAAGGCAGGCACCTTCCCCAAAGCCTTCCTCTGGAGCTGGTGGCCTGATGTCTAACTTCCTAAACTGAGAGAATGCATTTCTGGTTCTTGAAGCCATCCGCTCGTGCTATGTCTGGTTATAACAGCACTAGAGAACTGATACACATGGGGTGCCCTGAGTTGGAATTGACCCAGCAACAGCTGGGTCTGAGTAGATTTAAATAAAGACCCAAGGCCCAGGACAGACCCTTATCCTCTGTGAATCGCCCTGGCTGCTCCCAGCATCCCCAGATTCCAGCCTGCCTTCATGGCAATTGCATGGCTATTAGCTGGGCTCCTTCAGTGTGATTGTGTCCGATGCAGTTGGACCTTTCTCACGCTCACCCCACTGTTGTGCTTGAAACAGGTCATGGCATAGAACACTCAGTAAAGACTTGTGGGCCAATGTTTTTCCCCATCACAAACTGACATTTCTAACCCCGATCAGGCACGCGGAGGTGAGCTTCCTGCTAGAACTGCCTCCTCTGATTAAAAGGAAGCGTGGATGAATAACTGAAGACGCACTGCACTCAGTTGGTCCAGTCTCCATGACACCCTGCTGCTAACAAGGAGTCCCTGGGTGGTCCAAACAGTGAACACATGTGATGAAAGTCCATTCAGACACACCTCGGAAGAAAAGCCTGATGATTTTATGTTAGAAAAATCAGCCGTTGAAAACCCAGCAGAGAATAAACAAGAGGGCGGATCGGGTGGAAGTGCAGTGAGGAGCTCCATCAGCAACAACACAATACCGGACCTAGCAGGCTCCGGGGATGGTCCCAGAACTCTGAACCACATATAAAGGAACATTTAGAAGGTTGGAAGGCTTACAGCTAAAGGAATTTGTGGCAGAAGCAAGAAATCCATTGCTTTCTAATTCAAGATTCTCAGCTGCTCCCGGAGCTACCATTTTGGGTAAGACCAAGCTGGGGATGGATCAGAGCAGCCACAGACGCCTGACAGAACTGCAGAGATAAAGGTGTGGACATTCTTTTCTTTTCTTTTCTTTTCTTTTTTGGTATCTGTTCTTTGGTCTCTCGCTGTCTGTGCACCTCCATTCTGGTGACTGGAGGGGATGCCTGAGTGAGTGGACACCCCACTCCCACCCCAGAGGGTTCTACTACACATGCACACTGATCTCCTCAAAATTTAAAGAGACAGTTTCCACTTAAAACCAAACAGCCACAGCTGGCCCTGAACTGTTTATAACTAGAAAAAAGGCCTGAACAGGGATTGTGGAGCGGGACAGGCAGACTAAAAAGGAAATAGGCCAAAAATTAAATCCTGAGTTATGTTACAACGAACAACAATGGCATCTTGAAATTTCTCAGAAGAGTGAAAAGGGAAGCCCATCTCCTGATCACATCGACCTGGAGGCAATCAGAAAGCACAAAAAATACCAAAATACACACCCATCTAAGTATTAAGGCCACATACTGGAAGATGGGCAGGCTTTGAAAATGCCTGGGAAGGAATTCAGAAAAATCACTATAAAATGTATCAAAACACTATACAATGGAGTTGAGAAAAACAAGGACAAAATCAGGAAAGCACTACAGAAACAATCAAATAAGATAGATACAGCATTGGAAACAATTTAACCCCTACAGAAAGAGCTCCAAACTATTAATGATAGAATATCAGAAATGGACAATACACTGAAAGGGCAAAGGAGTAGAA